ATCTGTTCTAACACTGCAGCTGGGCCCCCTACCCAGGCATAGCTCCTTCACTAGGGAAAGCCACGCCCACACCTCTCTTTTGCTAAAAGGAACACAAAGTTTCAGCTGCAACCAGGAGTTTGTTTCCATTCCACCCCTGAACTTGAAACTTTTATTTGAAATATAACTTGTTCACAAATAGAGGAGTCCTTTGCCAGACTAAGAATAAATCCCTGCTCATGTCACAGAGCCTCTTCTTAGGAACCAGTAATCTTAGACTCATATTAGTAGAAATGATAAGTTTACATGCTGATTTTCCATCTAGGAAGTTGGGGATCAGTATCCTATGCTCTGTTGGAATAGCTTACGTCCAGAACAATTTTGTCCCCAAGGAATACTGGATAATGTCTGGAGACATTTTTTATTGTAACTACTAGTGTGGGAATCTGACGGGCCAGAAAGGCTTCTAAATGCATTTACTTGCCTTAAAATGTCAATGGCATCATTCCTGGGAATTTTGTCTATAGCAATGGTTCTCAACCTGTGGGTCTCAACTCCTTTGAGGATCCAATGACTTCTCATATACCATATATCCTGCATATCAGATATTTACATTACGATTCATAACAGTGACAAAATGACAGTTATGAAGCAGTAATGAAATAATTTTATGGTTTGGTGTCAGCAGTAGGAAGGTTGAGAACCACTAATCTATAGTCTTCTTTATGAACATAATTTACAGATTCTTACACAGACAAATTAATATTGATAAATGGGTACTTTATCAATAAGGGGCTTAGCTCCATCTCTGTGTTCATTACATTAGAGTGTTGAACAGTGTTTGGCAAGTAAAGTTTAAATTATAATAGCTAATCTTTGGCTGCATCCTTGAGAGATTTAATGTAAGCAATGGGTGTCAAATCTTAGAAAATTACATGTTGAGTATAGAAAGATGAAAACGCAGTCATTTGACTTTTCATAGCAAAAAAATGTTATCTTTAACTTCATGCTCAATTGAGTGTTAAATATAATCCAAGTGGCATAAAATTAGTTTGAATAATTCTTCATCCTCAGTTGGAAATATTTATAGCCTTTTAGAAAATAACATGTTGGAGTGCATTATACAGTTGTTCAATTAGATAAATAGATTGATGATAGATAATCAAGTTTATATAAAAAACTAAAGATTGCAGTTAATTTTAATATCATGTTTGTTTGGTTCTAAATTTTCAATTTAATATCTATAAGTTAGAACAAATTTAATCAAATAAATATATATATCAAATATATAAGTCAGAAGATACAGAGACAGAAATGTATATTACATTTACTAGATGTAAGTTCTGCGCATTTATCAAAAGGCTGCAGATTAAAAACACTAAGCAATATTCATGACCTCTTATTATAGTCATTGATATTTGATGTTAATTGTTGTCATTTTGAAGGATAAAGTGCATTTTGGCCAGAAAAATAATCACAGGTTATTATAATAGTTATTATAAAAAAGAATATGAATTGAAGACCAGCTGGTTGTGGTGGCACATGCCTATAATCCCAGCACTCAAGCAGTAGAGACAAAAGGATCGGGAGTTCAAGGTTATATTCAGTTACAAAGTGAGTTCAAGGTCACCCTGGGCTATGTAAAACCCCCGTCTCAAAACAGAAAGTCCAAAAAGAAATAAATACATAGCAAACTAATTCCCTTAATTCACCTTTAAATATCTTTTGTTATAAGCTGGTTGATAGACAGTCTTTTCATTCAAATTTGTTATTAAAATCACCTGATTGATTATTAAGCCCAAGGCAATTAAATATTTTAGTTATTTTAAATATTTTAGTTATATTCTCTGGGGAAGGTATTTCACTGCTGGTTAGCATATTTTTATTTTCTATAAAACATAGTGTCATATATTCTACCACAGTGGTTGATGTTAGAATTAATTGAGGCCTGAAGTCATACTCATTTCTGGGAACTGGAGTTCCCAGAAAAAAAGAAAATCTGCACCTGTGTTAAAAATTGTACAAATGACTGAGCTCTGTGATTGTATGAAGTCAGAACATTGCAGATCAGAGGCAAATTATCTTTGGGTGCTTTTAGTCTCTCTGAAAGCCATCCATTACCTTCTGCTGTCTGGTTTAACAGTATTGGGATTATCAAAGCCTTAAAAATGTCTTTGCAGCAGACCACTAGCTTCCAGCAACCTAATAGCTAAGATTATCACCAGAAAGCACCCGAAATCTATAGAAGATATCCTCCTGCTTTGATGTAAGCAGCTTAGCTGCAGTTCCCGTCAACATATTTGGTAAATGCTTTTATATTTGACTTTGTCTTTTCTGTAACAAATAAAATCTCACATAATTACTTCCATAGTGGAACTCATCTTTCCTGATTACCTGAATCCCCATTCCCAAGCCATGTTGACTCATGCTTGCCTTGAGAACAGGCTATTTCTAACTCGCTTTGAGGTGAAAGCTGTGTTTTGTCAACCAGTCTTCACTAGACTGTCTGAAGCAGAATATCAGTTGCTGAAGATGAGACATTGCTATTATAACTAAACAAAACTACTACAACCACCATACTACCATCATACACATACTCACATACTCACACACACACTCACACACTCACACACTCACACACTCACAACTCATTCACACACTAGACATACACACACACACACAAACTCACACATATACACACTCATACACACATACTCACTCAGACTTACACACTCACTCACACACACGTACAAGCACTCAGACTCATTCACTCACATGTAAACACAGGGCAATTCTGAAGCACAGACTTCATTAAACATAAAACTGGCAAGTAAAGTAGGAAATTATCAACCAGGCATAAGCAGAGTCATTTGGACGAAAAGAGAATCTTTAGCATGAGACCATGTTCCTGGGTTCATAGTTGAGATTGCCACCCTCGGTGGTGAGAATTCATTAAAGAACTGAGAGAAGCAGCAGAACATAGCAACATTGACAGAATTACCCCAACCCAGACACTAACATCCACAAATCCACAAATCAGAGACTGATCAAGATCTTTATAGAAAAAAAATCATTGAAAATTAAAAATGAAAGACGAGACAGAAAAAAATCTATTGTTGCATAGCCTTTTTATATAAAAAAAAAAACTATGTTAAAACTTGAAAAATAGGTGAAAATGCCACTTGATGATCTTGGTTTTCAACAACTAAAATATAGTTATATAAACCCAAAATGTTTGATTTTAGGTAACAATTGTCATGAAAGAAATCTCACATATTTCCTTAACATATGTGAGATCCTTGATTTAATCATCAGTACAAAAGAGAAGGAGGTAGAGGAGCCAACAATAATAAAACAATATACATTTGCATACAAGTCATATATATCTTCCTCTTTTAGTCATCTCTGGATTACATATAATATTGAATACAGTGTCAGGGTGTACTAAGTGTTTATAGTGTATTGGTTAGGAAACAATTATAAGAAGAAGAGTCTGTATGTAATAAGGCATTCTTTTTTCAAACACTTTCATATGCAGTTGATTGGGTAGGCAGCTACAGAACTGCCCTCCTCAGTCATGGAGGACAGACCGTAAAATAAGAATGCTGTGACATATAGAAGAATGCAAAGAGATAAATATCTATCCAAATGCACAAAACTCAAGTCCAAATGGATCAAAGATCTCAACATAAATCCAGATACACTGAATCTAATACAAGAGAAAGTGGGAAGTAGCCTTGAATTCATGGGCTCAGGAGACCACTTCCTGAATATAATAACAGCAGTAGCACAGACACTGAGAGCCACAATCAATAAATGGGACCTCCTAAAACTGAGAAGCTTTTGTAAGACAAAACAGCAGCCTACAGAATGGGAAAATATCTCCATCAACCCCACATCTGACAGAGGGCTGATCATATATATATATATATATATATATATATATATATATATATAAAGAACTCAAGAAACTAGACACCAAAATACCAAATAATCCAATTAAAAATGGGGTACAGATATAAACAGAGAATTCTCAACAGAAGAAACTCAAATGGCTGAAAAACATTTAAGAAATTGCTCAACATCCTTACCCACCAGGGAAATGCAAATCAAAATGACTCTGAGATACCATCTTATACCTATCAGAATGACTAGGGTCAAAAACACCAATGACAACTTATGCTGGAGATGATATGGAGTAAGGGGAACACTCCTCCATTGCTGGTGGGAGTGCAAATTACTTGTACAGCCATTTTGGAAATCGATATGGAGGTTTCTCAGAAAATTGGGAATCAATCTATCTCAAGACCCAGCAATACCACTCTTGGGCATATACCCAAAAGATGCTCAATCATACTACAAACTCACTTGCTCAACTATGTTCACAGCAGGTTTACTCATAATAGCCAGAAGCTGGAAATAACCTAGATGCCTCTCAACCGACGAATGAATAGAGAAAATGTGTTACATTTACACAGAAGAGAATTACTTGGCAGTAAAAACACAATGACATCTTTAAATTTGCAGGCAAATGTATGGAACCAGAAAAAAGAAAACATCCTGAGTGAGGTAACCCAGACACAGAAAGACAAACATGGTATGTATTCACTCATAAGTGGATATTAGACATAAAGCAAAGGATAAGCAGGCTACAATCCACAAGCCCAGAAAAGCTAGGTAACAAGGGAGACCCTAAGAGGGATACACATGGAGGGCCCCAGAAAGGGGAAATAGTTAAGATCTCCTGGCTAAACTGCAAGTGGGGTAGAAGGGAGGGAATGAGGGATGGGAACACGAGGGTTCTAGAAGACAGAGGGGGAGAACAATGAAAGAGATATCTTGATAGAGGGACATTATTGGGTTTGGGAGAAACCTGGTGCTAGAGAAATTCTCAGCTATCCACAAGAATGACACTAGCTAAGACTCTTAGCAATAGTGGGGAGGGTGTCTTCCCCTTTAATCAGATTATAGACTATGTCATAACAGAACCTATATCCAGTAACTGGTAGAAGCAGATGCAGTGACTCACACAGCCAAGGACAGAGCTGAGCTCTTAGAGTTCAGATGAAGAGAGTGAGGAGGGATCATATGAACAAGGGGGGGGGTCAAGATCATGATTGGGAAAACCACAGGGACAGATGACTCCAGCTAGTGGGAGCTCACAGACTCTGGACTGATAGCTGGGGAACCTGCATGGGACTAAACTAGACCCTCTGAATGTGAGTGAAAATTATGTGGCTTGACTTGTTGGGGGGAGGGTCCCTGGCAGTGGCACCAGGACCTATCCCTAGTTCATGAACTGGCTTTTTGGAGCCCATTCTCCATGGCGGGATATCTTGCTCAGCGTTGATATGGGGGGAGGGGCTTGGTTCTACCTCAACTTGGCATAACACACTTTGTTGACTCCCCAAGAAAGGACTTACCCCTGCTGAGGAGTGGATGGGGGGATAGGAAGAGGAGGGACTGGAGCTAGAGTTGGTATGTTAAACGAAAAAAAAATTAAATAAAAAAAAGAATGCTTGCTTGCATCCCTTCATGCTTTAATTTCTGGTTCTTTCTGCACTGGCTGTGGTTTGGTGAGCTTCCTGGCCTTAAAAAAACTTAAATGACTTAATATTGCATATTGTTCATAAACTTACAAAACATACTATAGAAAATGATAAACAGCTTATAAATAATTTTTGGTAATTTGTAATTAAGACTCAAATGTCATCATATTAGCACTGATCAGTTAGAATTTTCACTATGTTTGCTTGTTGGTGGTTGGTGTATTTACTTGAGTTAAGGTCTTACTATGCAGCTCAGGTTGGTCTCAATATGATTGCAATCCTAGGATGGCTAGCTGGAGACAGCACAACCAGCTAGACAAAGATATTTTATAAGTAATTTTATCTTAGGCTGAAACTTGGCCAATTTTTCAGTAAAGATGCAGAAAGTAGATATTTTAGGCTTGGGGTATAAGCCACAGAAAAGAAAATGGCATATTCTTTCATAAGACTATTTTAAAATATGAAAAACTTAAAGAGAGGGAGAGTGGGGCTCCATGATCTTATTCTTAAGAAAGTGTTTATTTGCATATAAAGAAAAATCAGTTCTTCTGATAATGACTGATGAGAACTGTTAGTGCACAGGGTCGAAGAACCTGGGCAAAGAAGAACCCTGTTGAAGAATTTTTCCTCAAGGTTTATTCAGGGGGCGACCAACTCATTCTTGCTGGAAAGTTGCCTGGTATATCCCCAAAAACTCAAGTACCAGAAACCTAGGATGATGGATTACCATACATCTGAGACTCAGGAAAAAGTTTTCCCAGAGGAAATCTGGGATCAATTGTCATAAAAGGGAAGAAGCTTGAAATGGGAATGCTCTCGTGAACTTTACCATATAAACATTAAGTTAAAAAAAATCACAGCTGGGGAATTCCAAAGAGAATACAGCAAAATAATATTTTGTGGGTTTTTTCATATTCCTTGACTTCTGTTGAGTCCAGAATCTGTCTTCCTGTTAATAGCAGGCTGTAGCTGAGGAAAGTGTTTATTCATAGGTACATTAGTAATTTTATAGTACAAGTTTATACATCCTCTAGATGTGATAAATGTTGTACATTAATGATGAAACACAGCCCAAACGTTATTACTCAGAAGTCACAGGGTTTCTAATTACTTCCTGGGTTTGCCTGCATGCAACAATGTGGGAACCTAACTATGACTAAGAGGTGACTTGTCCAGACTACTTTGGAAACAGCAAGGAATAAAATGGGACCATTTTTTTTGAGAATTTTGTTACTGGATTATTTAGAGTACCTCACTATTTTCTCTTTGTCATTTCAGCCCTTGATTAATTATTCAGCTAAATTCTATGTTAAATCCCCTCTATTAAATGAACAGATGTATTTCTTTTCTCCATTGCATCTTGATCTTAGATCCTAGATCTGTTGGCTCCTAGGGCTCTTATTTCCTTAGACATGCTGTATATAAACAGAAGGGAGCTTAGTAGCAGGCTTTCCACTTTGCCCAGGGTTGTTGGATCTTCATTGTAATCTATGTACATATAGAATTCCATCCTATAAAGGATAGTCTACATTTTACTCATCCATCTGCTTTCCATTGTAAGCAAAAGAGGGCTGGCTCCTTCCCATAGGGTCACATACTAGCTCATCCCAAGAAGCTCACTTTCTCTTAGATATATTTACATTCTTTAACATAACATGAACATCCCAGATCATCCTCTATTATATTCTCTCATTCAGGGCAGCTTTGTACATTCTATGATTTCGAAAATGACAACTGTGAATTAACAAAACAACAAAAACTGGTCAAATACATATTCACAATATTTAATTTAGTAATTTGCCTGGTGCAATAAGACAGCCAAGGAATCTAGATGAAGTCTTATAAATTATGTAGTATTTTTATACTTTGACCTGTATCTGTATCTGTAAGAGATATGATTATATTCTCAGTAAACATGGGTTTGTAGAGCATGCAAGTCCTATAGAGGGCTAGAGCAAATTTCCTATAATTATTCAGCAGCTGTCATTCCTGCAAACTGAAATTTCAGTGAAACATAATGTCCCTAGATTATGAAAAGTGGAGGCAATATTCTGGGACTTGGGGACAGGCAATTATAGTAAGGAATGCAGCATATTTAAACAACAAAAAGGAAATACTGCTAGCGCATACAAGGCCAACGTTTTTCAAATCATTCAGAAGACTTTGTAATGTTTTTGGCCCCTCAAGCATTGCTGGTCACATTCTGATTGGATCTTGTTTAATCCTCTACATGTTTTAGTCTGATATCTGATTCCACCATTCTCACCACTATAAAAGCAACCATGCTTGCATACATTAAAAAAAAAAACCCTTAGGAAAAAAAAAACCCTTAGGCCATGAATGTCTAGTTTTCCACACCCTCAGAAGTATAGAACAGCAAGGAGAACTGAAAAACATGGCTCTTCTCTATAGTTACATTTAAATATTTCATTCAAAACACCAGTACTGTGGCTACCTCTTAGTTATCTACTGCTATAAAATCAACTGCCTGAAATTTTAGCAGCCTAAGCCAAGAAACATGTAGTAGACCAGTTTCTGCGAGTAAAGAATTCAAGAGTCTGGTAGATGGTGGTTCTGGCTCAGAGAGACTCATGAGAGTATAGTTATGCTGTTGAACAGAATAGGCATTACCTATCCACTCCTGAATGTTTTACTGATTTTGATGCTACTGTTAAATGGATTTTTCCTCTTAATTTCCTCTTCAGATCATTCATTGTAAGTATGTGGAAATGAACTGACATTTGTGTATATCTTTTATATCCTGCATCTTTACTGACGTGCCTGATTAGGTGTCTAACAGGGTGTGTGTGTATGTCAGTTTTAAACGTTTCTACATACAATGCTGTGCTAATGTGAACTTAAATCCTTTTACTTGTTCCTTTACAATTTCGATGTTTTTTTCTTCTTGCATAATTGGTCTAGTTGAGCCTTCCTAATTATTATGCTGAACAGAAGTAGCAAGAGTAGGCATCTTTGTCTTCTGATACAAGAAAGAAAAGCTGGAGCATCATCTGGGAGCTTTCCATATGTGCTATGGATTTATTTCTTATATCTAGTTTATTGAGTGTTTTTACTGTGAAAGGGTATTAAATCTTGACAAATATGTTTTTAGTGTAAGTTGAGATAATCATATGATTTCATTTTTTATTCTGTTCGTGTGGTATATCATGTTAATGATTTTCATAGACTAAACCACCCTGGCATTCCAGGAACACATTCCTCTTTGTCGTGGTGTATAATCTTAATAAGGTGTTATTGAATTCAGTTTTCTAGTGTTTTGTTGAGGATTCTTGAGTGTGAGTATGACCCCCATCTTAACTAATTACCTCTCCAACTAAGGTCACATTCTGAGATACTATAAGTCAGGACTTGAACATATCCTTTTTCAAAGTAACAAAATCCAACACAGCATAGTCTCCAAGATAAGAGTCTTTCATTCCCTAGTCTCCGAATTTATATCCTATTACTACTGCAATAGTGCTTTTTATATATTAGGAGCTAGTAAAAAAGACTATCCGTTTGCAATGGGAAGGAATTGCACAAAAGCTGAATATCATAAAGTGTGTACAAGTAGGGGCAATGTTGGAAAATGCCTTATCACATTCATAATTATTAAGGAGAAACCATATGTAGTTGAATTGATTTATTGGGGTTTTATGTATTCATTTGTTTTTGATGCTTGTTTTTGAGACAGACTCCTATATCATCATGCTGAGCTCAAGCTCACTATGTAGCTAAGAGTGACCATGACCTTATCCTCTATCTCCCAAGTGCTGGAATTACAGGCCTGTGTCAACATGCCCAGGTGGATATAGTAGACTTTTAAATTATTTATTTATTTAAAATATGTTTTTAGTTAAAATAGAATTGTATCATTTCCCTCTTACATTCCTCCCTACATACCCTCCCACATACCCTGCCTCCAACCTCTCTCATACCCCCACCCTCAAGTTGATAACATATATATACATGCATGTGTGTGTGCATAAATATATTAATACAATCTGATCAGTCTGCTTTTGTTGTTAGTGTGAATATGGTTTCAAGGCTGACTACTGTGCATTGGACAGCCAATAAGGGGCTTCTTCCTTGGGAGAGGATAATTGTCCTTTTCTTAGCAGTCACTCGTTATTTCTAGATCTTTGTCTAGGGTTGGAACTCCTCAAATTCCCCCCTTCCTCATGTTGTGCTGACTACCAAACATAAAACTATTTTCATTACTACTTCATAACTGTGATTTTATTACTGTTATGAATCACAATGTAAATATGTGATATGCAGGATATCTGATATGTGACCTCAAAGGGGTTGTGACCCACAGATTGAGAACCACTGTTTACAGGCAAAGCATGATGAACATTTAAGAGTAAGAAACTGACTTCCTCTGACAGCTGCTCATGTGAACTTGTTTTTAAATAGTTCTTTTTTAATTAAAAAATTATACATGTTTGTGTGAGCTTGTAAGAGTTTATATGCACCACATTAGCCCACAGAGGCCCCAGAGGGCATTGGTTCCTCTGGAACTGGAGCTTCAGGCAGTTATCGGACTCCATGTGATGTCTGGGACCAGAACCCCAGTCCTCTGCAAGAGCAGGAAATGCTGTTAACTTCTGAGCCATCGCTCTAGCTCCAAACTTATTTCTTCACGAGTGTTCACATTCAGTCTTCTT